TTAGACATTATCAATACAAAGGGGTAAGTAAAGTGTTTATTGAAAAAAGAAATATTGCTAACTGTTCAAGCTGCCATTAGCTGATTATAAATGAGTAATTTTCTAAAGGAGTTGATTCAAATGTATTTTTATAGGATTCTGTGATATTAAAAAAATGGATCATAAGATGAAAAACCTAATAACTGACAGAAGTCACAATTACATAAAGAATTGAAAAATGGAAGAATATAAGAATAAAAGTGCCACATGCAATCATGGAGGAGACAGATACATCAGTGCAAAGTTGTCACAGTTCAGCTCAGGATCAAACTGGCTGCAGGACTCTTCATAAATAACTGACATGTTGAGGTTAAAGAAAGTATATGAGCATTACAATGGCTTGATAATAGAACCAGTCTTGAGAAAACAGATTTGCTAAATACTTAAAACTCCTGGCTTTCTTCTCTTAATTGACAATTATTAACAGTTTGGGTTTTTTTTTTGTTGTTTTTTAATTTAATCTAGAGAGGATAGAGCTTCAAATGGATTTAATTCTTGATTTAATTTTATTAGTGGAATTTAGAAAGGATGGCTGTTTATAAGGAGGAGTTTGATTCTGTCTTAATATCATTATATCATTGAACATATAAAGATCAAAAATTATCCTGGCAGATTTCAAAATACCAAATTTTGCTAACAGAAATTCTTAACCTAGAAATTTAAACCTGTTTCTGTAATATGATGGTAATATGAAAATACAATAAAAAATGAATAAGGCAATTGAAAATATTTCATCTGCAAATGTAAGATAGTGTAATCTCAGCACAAGATACCAGCTAATGTACATTACAGCTCTGAAATTTGAAGTCCTCACAATGGGAAGAAATGCATTAGTTTACATATTTAAAGGGATCTTCTTATTTTTTCTGCTGATCCGGGAACTTGAAAAAATATTGTTTAAGGTTATAAATGTCTTTATTAAAATTACAATTTCAGTCTAATTTATTTTAACAAGAATTGTAATGTATTCTGCCCTTTGATCTCTTAGCTTGAAATGCTGCCTGTTATTCCATTATTCCACCATCCATTTGCAGATAACAATACATCAGAACCTTTTTCTTGCTGCAGAAACAATGCCCTTTATTTGAGAAAGGACATTGTTTTGACAGATAAAGTAGGCATTTGATAAATTGGAACAGGTTCTGAATTATTTTGAGGGGAATATGTGCTACATCTGTCTGCTGATTTTCCACTGAAGCAGTGCTTAACTTTCTTGTCTGTTTGTGATTTATTGAGCTGCAGAAAAGGTTAGGAAAATTTCATGGCTCTTCTCTTATAATTTGTAAGTGAATCAAAAAGCATTTGTTACTGTTTATGATGCTCAAAAGACAGAATTACCCCAAAACATTTATACACAACAAAGACTGTAGTGACAACAAAAACAAAGGTAAACAAAATAATTATCTTCTAAATTATTAATAATACAAATACAACACTGAAAACAAATCCAGCTGTTGAAATACATGGAATGCTAATAAAGATTTGTGTGTCTATTCTATCACATTTTTAGAAGAGACAATTAACTTCTCGCAAGCTAATGTAAAATGCTGGCCACAGGGAAGTCAAGACATCTATATTACTCAGCATTTAGATCTGAATTTAATTGCTGGAATAGAGATTATTTTTTGTTGTTTGCGACATCCTATGGAATCCTATCTAATCTGTAAATGGAAAGGCTCTTACACAGGGTTGGTTGTCTTTAATAATATACAGCTTTAATAACCTACACCATGGCTATATTTAGATAACTAAACAAAGAGGAAATCCATCTTCAAACAGTTGATCCTAACATTCAGTTTTTTCAAGGAAGGTGTTTCCCTATGAGTCATGTTTTTAATCTCTCGTATTTTACGGAGAATTTATTCATATATCCAGAGTAATCTCATGACCACTGTAAACCTTAGAGTTCCAACAGTTCCTACAGTCATCTGAACTCTGCTGTCTAGTGTTATTTGAAACTTTTAGGATCTTAGATATATCTGTATTAAAAAAGGGAAGGGGAAAAAATAAAAAGGAGGGAAATTCACTCTGTTCTAAATCAACAGTCAGCAGTCCCAGGCCTGGTAGAATCATGTAGGATATTTCAGACAACGCTGTATGCTTGCCCTGTCAGTCCTGTGCACATGCTTTTGATACCTGCATGGTTTGAAGATGGCATGAGATGCCTCTGCAGAGTGTGTAGCTGAATGAAACACTATTAATTGCTCTGAAAAAAAAAAAAAAAAATCAAAGTGAGTGCCAGTTGACCAAGCATATGTTCAGTAACATTTCACATATCTTTTTCCTGTTTGACATTCAGCTTCTGCTTCAGAAGAACATGCATCTCCCATAGGTCCTTTTTCATCTCTACATTTCTTACATAAATTTCTGACTTTCTTAGGGCACTAGATGCCTAACTGTGCAGCCAAATTCAATTCCTGTGGAGGATAAAGTAGCTCTCCTCAGGGACAGTTTATCCCACATAGTTAAGTATTTTTTTAGTTTGGGATTGGTACATCTTTGGAGTACAGAAGATGCCTGCCTTCTAATTATCTACCTTACTGATGACTGAAGATGGAGGGAACGAGTAATTTTACAATTTAATTTGTGTGAAAGTAAAGTTGATGATTTGTATTTCTCTATTCTTTTTAGTTCAGTCTTCTTAAATTAGATGATACACAACTAAAGCACAATGGATATTAGACATATACTAAAACAGTCAATGAGATGTGTCTGAAGAGAATCCTTTTCATTCACTGAAGCACAGCTGCTACATATGGCCTTTCTTTTGACATTTAACACTCAAAAACTGAACCTGCTCAGTTGGTTTCTTCTTCTGTGCCCTTCCTGCTGCTGATGTAATTCTCATGCTGTATAAATGAAAGAATTCTTTATTCATATATTATATAGGGAAAACATATGTGGAATTTTGTTTACTGGTGGATGTAAATTCAGTAGTTATTATCCTTCTGGGACTTAGTTTTGCTACTAGTTTGTTTTACTATTTGAGAATGATTTGGAACAACTAGCAAAGTGACTTGATGCACCTCACAAGTTTAAGATATACAGTTACATTTTAAGTGCTTATCCCTTTTTCATTCATTAACAATTATTTATTTATTGTTTGACATTAAAAAGGAAGTGTATTCCATAGCTCCCAATCATGACAGCTGCTACAGAACAGATAACATACATTGGCAAACTCTAAACCATAGAAACAGAAAAATATTTCTAAAGTTTCATGACATCCAGCTGTCTGCAAGCAAGCAAAATTGCATCATCAATAATAAGATTGTGCAATGCCATTAAATATACTGTAATTAAAAAAAAAATTTGTACAATTCTGTAATTCAAAATTATCCATTTTATTTTTTTCTTTTCCTGTTTCCTGTTTTTGAGTGAGGCTACCCAATGACAATTGCTTTATAACGTATTGACTAATTCTTGTTGTATGAGAATGAGTTGTTTTGACATTGACAGGAAAGGAAATTAGGAATAGATGAGGCAGGGAAACATATAAATATTGTTATCAACGACAGAAATGTATAAAAAGATTCTTCTAAAAGATTCTTCTTTTTTAAATTAGAGGAGAGGAATACAATTTGATATTAATCAAGGTAAAAGAAGTAATAGAAATGCACAGCAGCAAAGGACTTTGTTTACAGGACAGTTTTGGTAGCAGCAGCTGTACCAACCTCAGAGCCCATTTCAGTTGGCTCTGAGATAATCCCAATGCTGCACAAAGCTGAGCTGTTCAGCAATGCTGCTGGTTCCTCTATGATATCATATTTATGAAAGGATAAAAAATATACAGCAGTTGTGAGAGGAGTAAGAAAATGTGACAAAAACAGCCCTGTAGGCACCAAAGTGAAAGAAGAAGGAGGGGAGAATGTGGTCCAGGCCGTGGATCAGGTTCCCCTGCCGTACATGGAAGACCATACCAGACCAAGTATCCCCACTGCAGCCTATAGAGCCATTCTGGCTCTCTGGCAAGCCAAGAAATCCGGAAGTCAGGAAATTTTACCCACTACAGACTCTCAAGTCAAAAGGAAAGCTCTCTGTCTTGAATAATCATTCAAAGAGGTTGTCAATGTTTTTCTGCAAGAGAAGCATTTACCTTTACTGTGTGTTCTGAAACATAGAAAGATATATTAATCAAAAAAAAAAAAAAAAA